TCGTATCATTGGTCAGCGCCCAATTTCACCCCGGTGCGTCCGAAAAGGCGCAGGGTATACCCTGCCGTGACTACTTTTCTCAATAACTATACCCTGTTTTCGCAAATGTACCCTGATCTGTCGGGAAATTGGACCCTTTCGTCAATCATTTCCCCCGCAGGAATCTTCCCAACTCTTTTTCCCCTACAACCATGGGATACCAAACGGCGACTCTTCCCGCCCAATAACAACCATGGCAACGGGGTAGGAATCAGTTTCCGCCCCTGCGAAACAACACCAACCGTCAACTCTTCCGCTCTAAGTCAACAATGGCCGGGCAACACGTATTCCAGCACAATTGTTCCGTTTGGAAACATGCACACGCGCGTACGATACCCCGTGGAGCGACTGCTTGCTGCAGTCTAGACTATATGCGAGACGCAAGGGTCACGCTGTGAAAGCGAGACCGATCCAGCATGGTTGACATGCATAGCACGTGCCAGTGTGTGGCGCTGTGCTGGCGGCGAGCTCGCGCCCGCAACGAGGGTGGAGGGGAGAGGCAGGACCAGCACACGCAGACTCTCGCCCTTGACATCAATCAAGCACACACAAGTCATATCCTTACTCTAGCAGCAGGACACTGCTGTGTCGTGCAACTCGATCACCCTCCCTGTCGATACAGAGAAGAAAAAGAGTGCTCGCGTTGTATTCATCGGCTCATCCCGCTGAAGCCTGACGTTTTCTTACTACATTGATTGGTCGGCTTGGTCGGCTGGTAAGCGTGACCGCTGCCGCTACAGCAGTAGTTCAGGCAAGAAACACATCGCGATTGAGACACAACAGACAACGCAAGCACGCACACACGGCACATCGCAATTGAGACACAGCAGAAAACAGACGCACGCACACATGCATATTCATGTCAACCATGCTGGATCGGTCTCGCTTTCACAGCGTGACCCGTGCGTCTCGCATATAGTCTAGACTGCAGCAAGCAGTCGNGTATCGTACGCGCGTGTGTGCATGTTTCCAAACGGAACAATTGTGCTGGAATACGTGTTGCCCGGCCATTGTTGACTTAGAGCGGAAGAGTTGACGGTTGGTGTTGTTTCGCAGGGGCGGAAACTGATTCCTACCCCGTTGCCATGGTTGTTATTGGGCGGGAAGAGTCGCCGTTTGGTATCCCATGGTTGGAAGGGAAAAAGAGTTGGGGAGATTCCTGCGGGGGACATGATTGATGAAAGGGTCCAATTTCCCGACAGATCAGGGTACATTTCCGAAACAGGGTGTAGTTATTGAGAAAAGTAGTCACGGCAGGGTATTGTTGTTGTTGTTGATGTTGTTGTTGTTGTTGTTGTTGTTGTTTTTCTTCACATTAAACTCGTGTCAGTTGCTAATCCCAAAATCTAGCAAAGACTCGGTCCGTGGTCACAAAAATGCTAGAGCCATTAGACGATCTAAAGAACACGCACACTATCAGCAAGAAAAGGGTACGCAAGCCCGAGGAGGTACACCTGCAATCCCTGCAGCACGTTTGCGTGCTCACAACTGAACTATTATACACGCCCACACACTACAATTCGACTACAGCAGCAGCATCACCCCCCTTGTCCCGCACCTAACCAAAGTGAATGTTTGTCGACTACAGCGTACTGCTGTCTGAAGTGCTGTCTGTACAATGACAACACCATGGTAGGCATGGTACAAGTTCAGGACACGCAGCTGCTGTCTGAAGTGCTGTCAGAATGAGTCCGTGGACATACAATGAAGAACAACCAAGCAAGCCATCATTGTAATTGACAATCACCNACGCTAATGTGAGAAACAACAACAAACACCTAACACCTGTATTCAGGAAAAAAACGGAAAAATAATTGGCAACGCAAGAGATGTTTGTCCGTGCGCCACGGTTCGATGCCGTCCGCCTGCTCCGGTTCTGCTGCTCCGGTGCCGCTGCTCCGGTGCCGCTGCTCCGGTGCCGCTGTGGCCAGTTCTAGCACGACCAAACTCGACCCGCTCCGCTTCGTACACGCTCTCGTTGCTGTCCATCCCAGTCGGTTCCTCGCTTTCTCCCTCGTTGCACTTGGGGTTCTTGGTCTAAAAATTCTCGCGCCAGGATCAACCAGCCCAATCAGCTCGTCACCACCTGTCCCCTCCTCCTTTGATGGCAAAACCAGGTTACTGAGACAGTACAGCTCCCTCTAGCAATCGTAGGGCCGTGTACATAGTGCCCGTCCACCTTTCTGATGACGTCTGCCTCCGCGCACAAAGATGAGATGGGCATTGCTGCCTACACCGACGGCCTGGAGGCCCGCGCATCTGCATCTTTGTACCTGACGCACCAGTGCCGACCCAACTCCACCACTACGCACGCCTCGCGGCGGGTGCGCCGCAGCAAGGGTATACCCTGCGCCTTTTCGGACGCACCGGGGTGAAATTGGGTGCTGACCAATGATATTAGTGCATTTACTGGTGTTAATGACTGTGTACCCAGGTGTGTCGCTTTTCTTCCAGGGGATACCCTGTTGTGTCGTGTTCCCTATTTTTTATATTTGGAGTCAAATATTTGGAACCAACATCTTCATTGAACGCGCTGCAAGGCAACTTTCCAAATCAATCTCGCCGCATGTGATGGCGAGTGGGCATGCCCCTTCAAACACACCACGCACGCCACAGACAACGGCCCCACACGCGCGACACCATGGTAGGGTCCAACATAGAGAGGGGTAGTGGTCACCAAGGGCAATCCCGGCAGGGGTCAGCAAACAGAGCGGTTAACGGCGGTGCTGTAGGTCCAGCCGCATTCGGTTTCCCTGCTCGGCAGGCCGCCAGGCTAACACCTCAGGCCAAGGCAAGCAAGCGCGAAGCAGCAAGATGCCGAGAGCATGCCCTACTTGCTGGATAGCGTCAGCCAGGTTGTTGAAAGGAGAAGCCATCATGTCTCGGGCATCGAGGTTGCAGCAGCAGGTGTGTGACAAGCTTGTTATTGTCTCTATCGCCATCTGTCTACATACGTGTCCGCCTGGGGTGTCCGCCTGGTGTGTTTTTATTATTGGCATCGACCGCGCGAACTGGCTGACCAATTAAAAGACATCAGTGCCAGCTGGTAAAAATCAAGGTCCCTGGAAGGGGGCCAAAATTCGAAAAATGCGCAATGCGCTTGATGCGAATGCCAATACGACTCTCTCTACATGTTCTTTCACGTAGCCTGGTGTGCGCGTGTGTCGCTCTTAGTCCCCTCTCTCTCTTCTCGTCGCACTCGATCGCACCCGCGATACCAATCCAACTCTTCGTCTCGCATTGCAAGTCGAAGCATGTGTCGGGTGGTATTCATTTTTCAAAAAGCTGATACCCACATGTGTGCGTCCCTATTCTTGTATCAGGACCTCCGACTCTGTAGCACACATTTCGAAGATGCTGGTGCCACCGACGGTGCCGCTGTTACCCACTGCTTAAAGCAGCTGCAGTCTGCGTCTACATGTAGTTTGTACATGGGCACATACATGCCGAGAGTACTACTGCTGTGTCCCCGAAACTACTGCTGTATCACCGAAACCTGCTGTAATCCGTCAGTCAAGTCGGCAGCAGCAGTGGTAAATCGTTTGTTTTTTAGTGTACCATGTGCAGCCGTACACAAATGTACAGCATATTTTGCTCTCATGCTTTGTGGCGCGTTCGTCCACAGCAGCAGCAGCCATTCTGCCAGCGTGCAGTCCTTGTAAGACAGAATGTGGATTGGTTCGTACAGCAGTACAACGTGGTATTCGTCAGAATACGCCCCATCACCCCTGCGACTGTTGACGGTCCTCAGGGTGTGATATCATGTGTCACCTACACGTACGGTAATTGTACGGGCGGTTTTATCATGGTGTTCTATCTATTACTTCAAAGTATTCTGAAAGGAAGAGTCGAGAGAGGTAAAACGTTTCGCAGAACGCTCCTCAAGGAAAGAGGCAGTATTATACAAGCGCGATGATGCCTTTCAGTGTCCAAACAAACCAAGCGTCGCCAGGGAAAACAGGAGACAAGGGAGGCTTTCGTGGAAGTCAGCTCATTCGTCAGCAGGCGTCCCGTCGTGTCCACTCGGGTACGCCTGCGTCTCGTCTCGAGCCTGTGGGCCAACCTCTCTTCTTCTCTTGCCCACCTCTCCCCCCTTTCTCCCGTCCCCGCTACGATCGGCTACATCACCATGACGATCGACTACATCGAGCCAGTGGACCCGCGCCGCCTCGCCCAGGCGAAGACTTTTGCTGACGGCGCCCTGTTCTCGGATTGGGAGGCCGTCGCATGCCCCACGGACCCTGCTACAGGCCTGCGGGAGCTCGACCTCTCTCGGGTGGTGTGTATGGCGGGCTGCAGGACTTGCAAAGGCCTGCGTCAAATTGACTTGCCGGGCTTGTCCTCCGGCCTGTTTCGCATGATCAGCGACCAGACAACGCCGGGGAAGCCGGACTTTCTCCTGGGCGTTATGGGCACGGAGATGCAAGCCGGCAAAGAGGCCGTAAAGTCGCCCGCAGAAATTTTTCTCCAGACCAAGCGCGCGCTGCTGGATGCCACGGCGAAGTACCTCTTCACCTGCCCCTCTCACGCGGGGATGATGCACACTGACGATCTTGTGATTTTGCCCGCCTTCATCTTGGACCCCCCAGCACCCGCATCAGCGCCAGCGCCAGCTCGGCGCACCGGAGAGGAGGGGAAGAGACTCGGTCGCAGGCTGCGTTTAGCGTGGTATCGGGCGCCAAACGGGCGAGGACAGCGGAGCCAGAGCCGGACCTCGCCTCTCTCCTTCAGGCGATCGAGGAAGAAGGACAGCAGCAGCCGGAGGCGGCAAGCAACAAAGCGCCAGCAAAGAAGAAATTGCCGACCATTGTCTCCATTGGCACTCAGGTGAGAGATTGAGCAACATTTGTTTCGGGCCCGCCCTTTTTTTCCTAGATTTCTCCTGTCCGCCTGTACAGCAGTAGTCTCACAGCACGCGTCTGTTGAAGGGTGCCGTACGAGCACGCGGGGTGCGCGCGTCGCTCGCCCCGACACCGAACACCCAAATCTCGTGGGCCAGCACATTTCCCCCGCCTTCCGAAACACGATCAAATTTTGGACCACTTTTGAGAAGGCAGAATATCGGATGGATGGCCCGACCACGGATTGGGGTATGGATGAGCGTGCTTTGGACATTGTTTGATATTTGAGGGTGGGCCCGGATGGTGATATGGTAACAGCATACAGACTGATCGCTTGGTGTGTATGCTACAGCTAGAGCAGGACTGTTGGTAAACGCCAGGCGTCACACACTGATCGAGAGTTCACACGGCGGTTTGTGGTGTATGATGCATGCAATGTTCCACCGCAACAGAGGTATCGCTCCACAATGTGGGTGCGTTTGTCTGAGCAGGATTCTCTCCTTGGTCAGTAGCAGGGGGACGTGAGACAACATCACACACTCCGCCTGGGTGCGCCTTAGGAACAATGGTAGGTGCACGTTTCCTCGCTTGCACGTCGGTGCCGCTATTCCCGAAGACACCAAGCAGATAATTGTGAGAAACCCCCGTGATGCACGTGTATACATCCCAGATGTTTGGGCGGCGCGTTAGGCACCACAACAAGTCTTCTGATATGCATGCGGGCCGTGACGTCGCTGGCCTCACGAAGTTACGGTGGAGCTTCACGGAGCGGTCCATGTGGGCGTCGTTATGCGTTGTGCACGTCGATGGAAATTTGTGGTTTGTAGCTAGGTTATTGCTGTGCCAGCGATACTACGTGACCGTTCATGGCCGAACCTTGCTCTGCGCGCATGCGGTTCTTCATTTCATACTTCACTGCGAAAACATGTGCTCTGCTGTAAGGATCACCTCGAGTGACACATTTCCATGTGGGGACACCATGGGAAAAGGATCAGCTGTGGTCTGGTACCCTATTTTAATTACGGACTATTTATGTCGCATTCCACACAGGTGGAAGCGCGCTCCCAGCCAAAAATTCACGGCGTTTTCGAGTCAAACTTGGTTAGGTCTCTCATATAGCGGTTTCAGGCCATGTCACACGGCATTACAGAGTGCGAAAATCGGCACTTCCGCGTCAACACGTGGTAGATTTCCCACGTAGCAGCTTCATACCATGTCACACAGCGTTACGGAGTCCCAAAAATGGGTCGCGTTCGACTACTCTATCTTTGTCGCCATTCACGGGGTCACAGCGAGACGTTGCGAGGTTGCCCATCGCAATTCCATACCCATATCACACCATATCACACGGCGTCCCAGAGCCCAAACATGGATCGCATACCGGAGGATGGGCTTCTCGATTTGGCTACAATTCACGGCGTTACAGCGAGGATTAGCACGATTTCGCATCACAGTTCTATGCCCGTCTGTCCGTCGACACCATCACAGTATGCGGGGTAACAATGGTCACAAGGCATACGTCACAGTCCCCGAAATCCCACAACAACGGCGGCTTATTACTATTATTACACCATAACCAGCAGTTCTATGCCCGTCTGTCCGCCGACACCATCACAGGATGCGGGGTAACGATGGTCACGAGGCATACGTCTGTCTCCGGAATCACACAAGTAGGGCGGCTTATTGTTGTTGTTTCGCGGTTACTACGATGGTGACTCGAGGGGACCGTTACCGTTACAATGGTCACAGGGCATACGTCACAGCCTCCCAAATCACACGACGGCACGTTCGTGTCACAGGGAGTCCATGGTGGTGTGTTTCGCCGAGGCTGTTGCCGTATGAGGGTTTCCACTGGTCATGAATGGATTTCGATCGCTATAGAGTAGTGCCGCCAGGAAATTTCCCTGTCACGAGACCATGTCGCCGCATCACATCGGCATGTTACGGATATTGGTCACCCGCCGTCACGTGGTCCATCTCACATATAATCCCTTACCCCCCCCCCCC